CATAAAACCTCTTACCTGATCACCGAAAATCAAACCACACAAGACACCCACTGCACGACATGAATCAGCCCTCTTCTCTTCATCGATTAGGGAAGGGCTTCTTAGAAACTACAGCAACTGACCACAAACACCACAACTGGAGGCATAGAAACCTCCAAGGGAAGAGGGCAATCACTTCTTTTCAGCCCTGTCCCTTATCTCTAGCTGATGGCAAAGAAAATAAGAGAAAACCCTAGGTTGGGTGCGCAGATAATAGAATTCTGGGCAAATCCGATATGCTTGGTTTAGTTCTGATACCATGTTAGTGTTCGGTCTGCCTGTTAGACTGATAATAGTCAAGGAAGAGAGAGAGAAGAGAGAAGGAGAGAAACAGAGAAAGGAGAAGAACAGAAGATAAACAAGGAGAAAAGATTCTGGTTCGAATGAAAGAAAAAGTTCACTCTCCCATTTGGCCAGATGCATTTTATATTACTAAAATAATGTGGAAAAGTCACATATGCCCCTACTTAAGTTAGGGACATTAAATATAACATAAACTTACACATCAGCACCTAAACACAAGCATAAAGACAAAATTACCCCTACATACTCGACACTAACACAAACCAACCTCTCTACTGCAGCAACTAACCAAAAAACAGAAACCACCGAACATAGTAAAGATCGAGCTCTATTGGACTCATTGTAGTTGCTTAGTTTGGAAGGAGTACAAATGCAAATATGTAGAGTGCAAAACCTTATATTTTGTATTATTTTCTATGTATTTGCACTGTACATATTTGTATTTGTACTCTTTCCAAACTGAGTTGAGACTAGGGGTGTCCACGGTTCGGTTAACCGAACCATGGCCCTTTTTGTAAACCGAACCGGTAGTACCGGTTTTTTCATTTTGCCAAACTGAAACCGAACCAGTACCACTGACTAACCAGTTCGTCGATTTTGGTTTTTGCTTGGTTCGGTTTTTATATTTATAATATATATTATATAAATATATGTATAATATTATATAATATATAATATATTATAAATATTTTAAAAATATATAATATATTTGTAAATAGATCATTATAAATATAAAATAAGTATATGTTTATATATAATGAATATATATTTATATAAAATACATAGAAAATATGTGACATATATTAAAAATATTTATAAAATATACATATAAATATATATATCGGTCTGTTCAATTAACCGTCGATTTTTTTATAGGTTAACTGAAAACAAAATCGGTCCTTTGATTTTTTAAAAATTTCGAATCAAAACCGAACCGACCGATTCGATTAACCATATTTTACGGTTAGATTTTCTCGATTCGATTCGGTTTTTTGATTTTTCATGAACACCCCTTACTGAAACCACACATCTCCCGAAAATGATAATAGCCATAATCTGGGTGGCTATACGATGCCAGGGTGGAGTTGGTTGAAGTTGAGGGTGGGAACTCTTGACCTGTCATCGGGATCAAGCTACAAGAATCGTGGTTTCATTGTTTATTGGTTGTGGTATGGTAGCCAACGGTAGGGTCACAGGGTTGACTTGGAATGTCTCGATAAAGGGAGCTCAAAGGTTAGTGATTGTGCTGAATTTGGTAATAGAAGGTGCTCTGGCTCGTCTAGCACTTGGCGATCCCTCAACTTCAGACCCTGGCATCGTAGCCACCCACCTCCACAGTGTAGTCACCTCATGCCGAAACCCTATTATCATCTTCAAGACTTCAACATCAAAGACCTTGTCAACCCAATAGCAGTCCCACTCTACTTCCCCTCTTACTCCATCATCCCCTTCACTCGTTAATCACACTGCCAAGGCCCTTTGCATCCCATCCATCACCAATGTGATTGATTATCAGTTGCTAATCTCAGTTGGCACCCCAAAATCATAAATGTTTGACTCGTTATAACCATCATAGTCTCTGCAAGCACATACGTAAACTTCCATCAACAACAGTCGTCCTGGACATTGATCTTCGTTGCTTATTGAACCCAACTAACTACTCTATTGAAACCCTGAATGGGTTGATACCCGAACCCTTAACTTTATTGCTTGTTCTAAACTGATGGGCTCTTGGACGCTAAACCCACTAACCAGTTGATAACTGAAACTGACCCTAATTTTTTTTTTTTAATGTGTAAATCAATTAACGAAAGCAACAAAAGATTATAGCAACCAATACAACCATCTATAACAGTGGTTTACACTTTGTTCAGTCAACTATGAGGCTCGTTCAACTTTCAAAAAAAGTAACAATTCAAACAGTGGGTTTGCATAAGAGAAAATGCAAAATGGTCTCATAAAATAAGCAAAGGGTAGTTTAGGTGTTTAAAATACTTAGACGAAGTTACAGTCACACCATGCTAATGGGTAATGGCAGGGGGACAGTGTTGGAATATGCTCCCAAGTCCCAGGAACTCTTAAAGTGGGCCTCACCGCCTCAGTCTTATGGTGAGATGTGCAAACACGTGTTAGAATGATTTTTTTTCACTAAATGTCGTTAACCACAAATTACCCAATATAAAATCATTCAATAATATAGAAGTCAGCAATATAGCAACTTACAACTAGCTTCAGCAGTCCAGCAAACCCCAACTCCCAGTCTCCCACCCCCCAAAAAAATTTTATTTGCTAAGAGACTAAGGCCCTGTTTGATGATTAAGTACTTGTTAAAAAAAGTATTTGTTTTACAAGTACTTATTTTAACAACCCTTTAGGCTGTTTGGTAACCCACTTTTTCAAATCACTTATTATGTTTTTTAGTACTTATTGGGGTGAGAATGTTTGGTAAGTTATTTTTTCCCATAAGTGCTTATATTTATACAAATGACAATTTTAACCCTTACTTCACTCATACATATATACAATACTTTTCACATGTTATACTATACATTTCAACTGAGAGCCCATATGAACCCCTACGTGGGCTGCCATGTGAATAGACCTGTTCATGGGCCGGGCCGAGCCGGGCTCGGGCCGGGCTTTTAGTGTTCATTAACAGAAAAATAATAGGCCCGAGCCCGAGCTCGACCCGACCAACGGGCCTAGAACTTGGGCCTGAGCCTGGCCCTGATAAAAAGCCTGAAGCCCGAGCCCGAGCCCGAGCCCAAAGCCCGACCTAATAAAAGAAAATCAAAATTTTCCCTATTCAAATAGACATTATCTATTTTAATTCAGATGTTTTTTTCCCCTATTTAAATGAACAATGGGCCTACAAGTGAATHAACAACCTTCTCAAATCAAAAAATTTATTCAAATGGACATCACATAGGGTTTTTACTTAGGTTTAACTATAGGTCGAGCCGAGTTTACTTAGGTTTAACTATAGGTCGGGCCGGGCTTTTTGGCCCGAGGTTAAGCCCGCGGGCCAAAAAGCCTGTTCAAACCCGTCCGGGGGTCGGGCCGGGCCGACCCATCGGGCCACCCGACCCATGAACAGGTCTACATGTGAATCTAAATAATAATAATTATTATTATTATTTTTTTATTTATTTTTATTATAAAATTATCATAATAATTATAAATAATAATAAATCAAGATGTCATGTTTATATAAAGATGATTGATCATCCATTCATCCCTGCCTCATTCACCTTAAAACCTGAAACTAGACCAAGAGAATCAGTTCTGCATATCCACTTACTAGGCATAAAATCCACAACCAGCAACCATACACTTTTGATCTGTAACAAGGCAAGGTCTCAAAATGATAGATTTGAGATCAGATAGCTTATTAATTAAACTTCTGTGTGACGTCTGGAAACAAGTTTCACATTCAAGTAACACCAAAAATCTATCCAACCATCTAAATATTGCAGTATTTTTATCATTAAACAAGGTAAAATAAATCCTTTCCCATAAAGGTTTGACAAGTTCATTTCATCTGATGAAATCAGAAAACCCATGCACCCTAAAAGTAGTTTCAGAGATCTGAGATCAAGGAAAACATTTGCACTACATATCAGTCAATACATATCACGAATATCAAAAATATATCAGTGAGTTGAGTGCCTATACTGTTTCAGATTTATGTTCCAGAGATCTGAGATTGAGCTCTATTTCAAAGATCTGAGGTCAAGCTCTGTTTCAGAGATCTGAAATCGAGCTACGAACTATGTTTCAGAGAACTGAGATCGAGTTCTGTTTCGGATTTCAGACTTGATGCAACCAACAATAGATTTCACAATAATAGATCTATGTATAGAGAACTAACCTATTGTCGCCGGTCGTTGTTCAAACAGTAGATTTCACAGTAGATCTACAAAAAATAGAGTTCATGTTAGAGAAAAACAAAAAAAGAACGATTAAATGAAAGAAAAACTTCAAAACATAGAGGAAAGAGGCCAAACGGTAGGTCTGCCGGCCACGGTTCCTCACCACCAATCGTCGCCGGTGGACCTGCAACTGGTGTGCCGCTATTGCTAGGGTTTAAAGATCGAATGAGTGGGAGAAGAGGGAGGTATAATCTCACGGGGTATTTTAGTCATTATACAAATTTGTCAGGGACTGGTTCATCCTATTATTTTGGAGAATTACTTCAATAAGTACTTGAAAAAAAACCAACTTGAAATCACTTTTTCAAATAAGTACTTCTCCACTTTTTTACCAAACACCCATAAGTACTTAAAAACCACTTAATATGTGATCTCATGTCTTAAAAGAAGTACTTGTTAAAAATGTTCTCAAACACTACCTAAGACTGTTTATTTGTGAATGTACTCTACTGAACACAAAATGGTTTAGAGTTATAAATCCATTTAGTTTGTATCCATCAAATGGATACAGTAATCCACTCTTCTTAAGATACGAAAATGTAAGAAAAAACAATTTTTCCCTCTTAATCGTTTCACTTTTGTATGGCAACAAACGCAACCTAAAAGACAAAGTAATGAACTTTTCAGTACGGTCGCTTCAGCCATTCTCAATGAAAGAAATTACACCCTGCCTGTTTTCAAGTGGACAAATGAGGAAGAAGAACTATTAAAATGGAAACTTAGGTGTGATTTGCAAATTGCAATGCTGATGACTTGGATTCATTGGTGAAAATTACATCATTGGTATTCCTTGTAAAAATTCTTGACTGTCTATACAAAATCTTTATTCCCGACCGACATACATCACACTCGGAACTCGCCCCCGTGAAGTTAGCCCTCTCACCTCATCATCAAGGGGAAACTTTTAAACAAATCAAAGAATTTTCGCATACAAACTTTACACGAGATGTACACCTGTACACTTCTCAAGACAAAAAAAAATGGTTAAGTGGAGAAGGTGGCTAATCTTCAAGGCGTTGAATCTCACCCATCATGATACGATTACTGGAAACCTTGAAACCAAGTAATGCAGGATCAATCTGCCTCCCTTTCTTCCCCTTTTTTTTGCCACTTCGACTTCCTTGCGTGGCATCAGATGACTCCATAGCTCCAGCACTGGGATCAGTCTCTGGCAGTGTAGGTTTCTTTGCTGTGCTCTTAAGCATGTCTATGAATGACGTTTCTGACACATCTACAACACTGCAAGATGAGTTGCGTCGAAATCGTATTTCTTTCTTGCTAGATGCAAGATGTTCAGAGGCCTGGATTGCTGGATTCACGCCAGAGTCTTGCATTTCTGAAAATTTCACATGTTTAATTAATAAAATAAGTAAACAGAGAAATTAAAGTGCTTCAAGGGAACAAATAATAAAAACATCGCTCAAAGAATACAGCTTTAACGATGGAAAAATCTACTAAAAATTTTTCAAAACCCGTAAATGTTCAAAGGGGGTTATACAAGAACGTTTTGGAAGAAAATTGAATACGCACACCATCCAGAAAACAGCTACTGCACTTTTACCTTTGACGGTTCTGTTGGTGCTTAGCTCGGACAAAGATTCCTGTGATGAGTGCGCACGTGAAACAGGTGGAAGTTTAGGCAAGGAGTTACTAAGCCCTTTAGACAAGATGGATACCCTGTCAAAAAGAAAATAAAAATTATAAAACGTATGAACGTTAAAAAGATCATTTTAGCATTCTGATAATCAGTTCACATCTAAATAATGAAGATGACTCATTAAGAAACTCCATCCATAAGGATGATAAAGCCACCTTCGACAACAGAAGAAATTGCATTCTGACTCCCACCATTTATTCAAATATGACAAGTCACTAGCAGCAATACATAAGGCCAACCACAGCAATACATAAAGTATGAATTTGGTAACAATGTGTAGAGTTTAACCTCATGAAGCACATATCATTGGTCATTTTTATTGTCATTTTCTAATTTGCCATACACTTGAAGAAATGCATAAAAAACTATGAAGTCGAAATAGATTTCAAATATATTTTTTCAGTAAGGATGAAGACTAAAGAATCTCATTAACATGTTTTTTAGAATCTAGAAAAGTTGCAAATAAGTCATTTTTCTTCAAACAGTGTTTGGACAGTCAAGGCCACTTGATGCAAGAATCCAGTCGCGAAAATGGAATATTGAAATAAAATCTCTTTTTTTATCCATTAACACTCTCTTAAACTATTGATTTATTCAAATCTTTTATGAAAACTCATCATAGTGTGCAATTTACTATATAAATATGTAAGATTTTAGGCCACTATTATCAGGAGATGGACTTCAAGCTCTTTTATGAAAATGTGAAGACTATTCAACTATAAAGCAAGATGAAAGCGTTCAAGGGGCCATCAATGTTAAAAACGAATTATATGGATTGTAAACCTACAAATACAAGCAGAGTACTTCTAGTTTTCCTTAGGCTTAGTAGCTCTTCCTCGCTACCGGCTTTGATTTTGAATATCCATGCAGTTTTCTCACCCCACATTGTCCAAACCACAGGTAGTGGGATCATATCCCAGGTGATTTTATCCCTTCTGCTTAATCCCATCAGCCACCATAAATGAAAAAAAGGCATAGTAGCTCTTCCTCCCTTGATCACTGTTTTTTCAGAAATTTACGGTGTGGACTCAAAAAGAGTTTTTAATTCAATTAGGATTAACTTATAAAATAAAGCTCCCATGACTCAAGTTAGCAGATAATTTTTTCATGACCAACAGGATTCATGCAACCCCATATAGTTGGGATAAAGGTTGAATGATGATGAATCCAGACCACCACAGATCTAGATTTTCATTCCTCTAGCTTCTGCTATCATAATGATACATGCCAGTAACAGATATAGCATTTCCTACCATGATGACCAGATCTCTGCTTTGAACTGCAGAGCCCCTGTTAAGCTTTTGATAATTAGTGAACTAATAATTATGTAATAACAATTATTAATTTTCTAAAAACTAATATTTATTTATCTGTTTAGAATTCCTAAAACCTCAGCAATCGAAGGGAAAAAAAGAACTTGGACCTTGATATGCACCAATTCTATTTTACATAGTCAAGGTTGCAATCTACCACTTCTATTTGGGCATTTCCTATACTCAGATAATAACTCTGGATATACTGTAAGATGTTTCCCTCAACTCAACTAAGTCATCATAAAATGCATGTGACCAGTTAGATAATATAATGTATCCTTTGCTCAACCTGAAACTTTACCATTTGGAAACCCTTCAGGATAGCATACATTTGAAATATAGATATACCTTCCAATGATTCAGTAAAAAAAAATGTCAATCATTACTAATCATAATAATGTTCTTGTTGCACTAAGAAATCAGTAGGGATTCAAGTTATTTGCTTAATTATTTTTTAATGATTTTATTTCTGATACATACTGATTTTACATGGATTTGGGTGTGGGTACATGGCACTTGGACCCATCCCAATATACGCAAAAAAAAAAGAGAGAAAAATCAAGATTGAAATAACCAAACAAAACCAATACCAACAGTCACCTCTGCTTCCAAGTTAAACATGTATAAACATCCAAACCTAAGTTAATAAGTCACATGCAAAGAATTACCAGGAGGTGAAACTTAGATCCTAAATTATTTGGTGCAACTGATACATTATGCTATGAAAGCAAACAGGGGAAACATGGATATGGACTCAGCAACTGTGATGACTGATGCATTAGCAAGGCAAGGGGTTAATGGGGACAAGTGTTTTGGGGGACAACAATGTAAATCATGCTTCTAAGAACAATTTAGGGTTAAGTAGCAGATACTATTCTACCATTTCAATTCCCTTTCCATTTGTAATTAGCATTAAAAAGGAAGTTCTATATGATGACCACAATGCAGAAACCAATATATGCTGAGATGATGGATGAAAAAAATGACAGCCATAACATCAGAGCACTCCCACCCCCCCAGAAAGCTAGCAACAAAATAATAATACTTACTTGTCCTTAGCTCTCTCTTCACCAACTGCAAGCCCCATTTCATAGTTGTAGAGGCCAGCACTTCCACCTGAAATGCATAATAAAGACACTCGTATTATAGCAAACAAAAAACCAGCTCTTACAAAAAGAATGAGAATGATCAAAAACTAACCAGAACTTCCAACTAATGCATTCCTGATTGAAGCATTAAATTGCAGGTCCCCATGGTCCATGAAAGTCCCTTCTGATTGTTCAGCCATGCTTTCCTGATCCTCTGAAAAAGATCTGCTAATTGCAACCTTACTTTTAGGCACACGTTTCTTCCCTTTCTTCCCCTCCTTCACCTCTGAGAAGTCATTCTCTGCAGATGACTTATTTGTCATGTTAGAATCAGCATAAAAGGACTGACCAGATTCATTTATTCCTGACAGAAGCTGCTCTTCTTCAATTAATGCTCCAGAATTAGACCTAACGGACAATCTTCCATTACTTTCCAAGCTGCTGGATAGGTCATCCATGCCCAGCTTTACAAACCGATCCTGTAGGGTGTTGACTGAATTAGAACTATGAAGCCCTTCTGCAAAAGAATTGCTTAGCCCTGTTTGCTTCTCTTGGAGGAGATTAAACGGGAGATCTGAAGGATTAGATTGAGAAAAAAACCAAGAAGGTTCCCTCCTTTCATATGATGGAGTAGGAGTGATTTTGCCCATTTCTAATGGCTGAGTAGACTGAAGACCGAACTTATGATAGAGCAATTCCATCATAGCCCTTCTGGAATTTTCATCACTTCCTTCAGTTGCCCATAAACCAGGTCCAGTTCCAGTGGAAACAATGTTAGCATCTGGCTCCCTTCTCTGTCGCTCTGATTCAAGATGCAATTGTTGAACCCGAGCTGCTACATGGTTACTTGCAACTTGCCCATTGCTCTCAGGCCAATGGCTATCTAATGCATCAGGGTGTGAAGCATGAAACTGGTTCGGAACTTGTGGATGATGAGAGTGCAGTCCAGAAGAGAATGAACCCAATTGACTGGCTGAGTGCATGTGATCATGTTCATGAAAGTCTAAACCTTGAGCACGAGCCAGTGTGCTTACAACATCCAGGTTCATTCCAGGAGTATTAGCAGGCAAAGGCATTGACCAATCAAATGGAAATGAGTTCTGTTCATAAATACTTTGCCGAATTCTCTCTTGTACTGGAAGATTCTGCTCAAGATTGCTTATTTGCTCCTCATAGGAGGAAGCCCTCTGTTGTCGCTGGTAAAAATCCAACGGACCAAATCCTGCAGACTGAGCCTGGTGAGGATTAGCAGTACTCCTGATAAACTGACCAGTTTCATCAACTGACCAGACTCCACCAATGAGTTTTCCTTCCTCAATTCCAGCCTGTCGCCTTGATGCCATGGTTAACTGTCGTGCCTTTAGCTGCTCTTGTTGAAGAAGAATTTGCTGATCTAAAGGAAGCATTTGTGCATGCTTTGCTCGTGATAGGATCTCCAACAGATCATCATGATGTTCTCGTTGTAGGCTCTGGCCATATTTTGCTTGGATAAGTTGCTCAATATATGGATCATGGTGCCTTACAAGAGGATGTGATTGTTGCAATTCATGTAGAAGGTGCTGCCTGAAAATAACTTGGTCAAGCATATTATTAGCTCTGACAGGATCAACATGTGATTGCCCAAAGTTAGGATCCTGCATCTTTTGATGCATCAACTGTTCAAGAAGCAACTGCCGAGCTTGCTGCTGTTGCTGCTGCAGTTGCATTTGATGGCGATGAAGCTGCTGTTGCTGCAACTGATGCTGTTGTTGCAGTTCAAGCTGTCGTTGCTGTTGAATTTGAAGTTTTATTAGTTCCAAATCAGGCAATGGTTGATTAATTGATTGCTGGTTATGAAGAGGATTCCTATCCTGTGGGAGAGATGAACCTGAAAACTGGTCTATAACTGATCCATTCAAATGGAAAGGATGTTGAGACAACATGTTTTGCTGTGGTAGGTGATGTTTTTGCAATTGTTGTGACATCAAGTGTTCTGCTAGATCAAAGCGGTTGGGTTCTTGTTCCACATGTGACAAATAATTGTTATCAATGGCATCTTGAAATAAATTTTGTTTAGAAAGTGTAGTTCTTCCAAAACCACCAGACGATGTCTCTCCAACAAGAGTGCTCTGCTTTTGGCCAGCAAAATGGACATCTCTTCCACCCATAGAATTCATAAGGTTGCCCTGATCACTAATGCTGGAAGACATACTGGATGATGAGGTGCGCTTTAGATGACTTCCATCTAGTTCGGACCACAGCAAGCCAAAAGGATGCAACTTATTGTCCTCCATAGAATCAGTCAGCTCATTTGACAGAAATGGGTGGCTGGTAGAATTTGCCAATGTATCCTGAAGTTTATCAGAAGGTTTGCCAATTGGATTCCCACTGCTACTTCCAGGTCTCCCAGGAAATACAACCTCTACAAGAAACAGATCAGGAAAAATAAAAAATTTGGCCTGAAAAAGCAGACAATATAAAGAATGACAACAATAAAATTATCAGCGTAACAAGATAACTAACCCTTGTCTTGGGTGGCAAAGTCATGAAAAACTTGGCCATCAGAATAATAAGGTTCTTTTGGATCTTCACATTTGGATATTAATGGCTGAGAATGATGACTTGAAGAAACCTCAATTTCAGATGAAGACCAGCCTTGATCATCCACAACACCGGTAAGACCAGCAGCAGATGCTTTACCAGCACCCGCACTGCCCCCAATAGCATCAGATGGCTCTACACGAGAAACAAGATCTGAACTAGAGGCCAACCCTGCCTTGGATCTTAGATGGGGCATTACTTCCCCGAGTTCTTGGAAAGGGGTTCCTTCTGGGGCATCCGACAAACAAACAGGTAAATCAGTTCCGAAAAACCCTTGCTCAAACCATGAAATGATATCAATACCCAGAAATGGTCCCTGAATCTCCCCCTGAGGATCACGGTAGTATAAACTTAAATCCTCAGGTGATGTGCCACTGTCTAATAAGTTTGCTTCATCATTGCTCTTTACACACTTCATACTGCTACTAGATGCTTGCAGAAGTGATGGTGGATCAAATAGGGAGCTTGAATCATTAGGAAGATTAGTACTGATATCCAAAGAAGCAGATGATTCAATTTCCCCAGATTTAAGATGTTTCCGCACAGCAGTATCTTCTGACTCCCAACTTTCACTAGTTTTGATCACAATGTCGTGGTGCTCTTGACGAAAATCTGCAGCAACAAATCCATCACTACTCTTCGTAACTGCTAGAGGAATTCCATCAGAACCCATTCCAGCCATTATTGATGAGACATTCTGTTCACCCCTTTTAAGACAACTGTCTACCTCTGAAATAGTACAGCAACACTTCTTTCAGATACAAAACAAATAGCACAAATAAACTCAATTTACATGCAACCAAATATAGGTATAAAAACAAATACTCAATAGAAATTTTCCATTACCATCTCCTATGTTCATTCTTGAAGCGCAACCGTCATCAGATCCAGTCCCAATTGTTTGAGAAGCATCAATAGCAGCATCTGCAATTATCATAGCTTTAGTATAAACAGAAAAATATATTTCTTACTTCTACTCAGTATAACAATCTAAGTTCCTTAAGAAAAGAACACTTTCTCATGATCCAAATTCCCCAAAAAAAAAAAAAACAAATGACTGGACATTATTTTTAGGTAATTTCAATTTTGCTTACCTGTGGCATCCTCAATTGAACTCCCAATCTTGTCCTTTGATGAATTATATAGTATTCCACTGCCAGTAACTTCCCCTTTCCATATATCACTAAGGATAGCCTGTTAGCATAACATGTTTCGTTGAGAAGAATAAGAACGTTATTGAGTGATATGTTTTACAAGTTAATTCATAATCCAGAAATAGAGCATACCTTCTCTTCTGGATCAGGTGCAACAAAAGCCAATGGTTCAATGGAGCTTATTTGTGTTATTGGGGGTACTTGTTCCAGCCCATCAGGCAAGGTATCAAAAGATGGAGAAAGCTTTTGTTTGCGGTAAATGTCAAGAAGTTTTCCCCTTGGATAGCAAAATGTACCGACAGGAGCACCAATAGGTCCTGCAGGTGAAGGCCTGGTAATTGATGCAATACCAATAATGGTAGCCCTCCCTCGTCCTGGAGTAAATCCCGTACTCTCTGTCCTTCCTCTCTCCAGTGCAAATCCAGGTGCAGCACGGTATGCAGTTGATCCACTTGAATGAACTTCTAACCGATGCCGTGGCCTCCATTTGTCCCGAGAATCACTTTCACGCTCAGAAACGGCACGGTTTCCACCTCCACTAGATTGTTTGTCACTAAGAGCATCTTCTTTCTCACCATCCATCCTCTTCTCTGTTCGAGATTCTTTGTCTTTATCTTCTGGACCCCACCTTGATGACCATTTGCTGTCTCGCCGTGCTTCGTGCCCAGGATTACGACTGTTAACATCATGCCACCTATCAGAGGATGGCAAGACTCTACCATCACCTGTCTCTCTTGTTGTAACATTGTCAACACGTCGATCTTCTTTCCTACGGTCTCTTCGACCAAGTATGCCAGTTTCTCTCTCTTCTTCACGCCAACGACGGCTACTTTCAACATCAGCTGCAGTCCTCCTCCAATCTTTCTTGTCTTGAGATACATCTAAACGCCAGCCATCTTTCTGAACTGGATCTATGGAGTTCCCATGAGGCAATGAACTTGGAGCCTGCACAACCTATCATACATTAAAGAAGACCAATATTTTATTGCGAAAAATCAAGAGTAACTAATAACTGATGGCCAATATACTGAACCAGTACAATTATACTTTTAAGTATGACTATTTAGATTTGATAGTAATTTGAAGTTTAAAAAACATCAACCAAGGCGACTTATCAGCCAAGCTGGATAAAAGTATCAAACAAGGTTTTGAATTGTGATCACAAACAAGTGGAAAATGTTCCTTCCCACATTATTGACTATGATACCGAGATACACAGACGAGCATCATACCGTGGGAGATTCTTAATCTTTTAGTGTAAATCCCATATCTAACACAATGCCCAGCTCTGCCCTTGTCGTATCTGGATAACATAAACTACAGATACCTCACCAATTGCACTATTTTGCATCGAACTTTTTTTGGCAAATCAGTATAGCAAGGTTGTTAAACAAAAACTCAGTTAATTTGGCCCCCCAGACTGAAATAACATGAGACAAAATTTTGTTATGATCATCAAAGAGATAATGATAATTCTTTCATATTGAAAATCTGATACTAATACTGTTAGAAACCCTTAAAACCCATT